TTCTTCTGAGACCTCTCTCGCTGGCTTGCAGATGGCCACCTTCTTGATGCATCCTCCTGTGATCTTTTCTCTATGTGCACCCCTGGTGTCTCTTCTTGTGTTCAAGTTTTCTTTGTCTTATAAGGACACCAGCATGATTGGATTAGAGCCCACCCTAATGGCCTCATTTTAACTTTATCACCTCTTTCGAGACCCGATTTAAAGAACCAAAAATAGTCACATTTTGAGGTACCAGGGGTTAGGGCTTCAACATAAGAATTTGGGAGGGACATAAATCAGTCCATAATAGCTGAGCTTGCCAAGACTCATTGGTTTTGGAAGCAGTATAGAACTCTTAATGTGGCTTTATTTCCTTCTTCCTGTCGTTACCCTCACCATCCAGAGCATTGTAAATATGTCTTAGGGGTGGTACCTAAGAAGACCTGCCTAGGTCACTCTAAGGAACACGGAACTGTGGGGTATCTGTGTCACTGTCAGTTGGTGATAGCTGATTTTACAAAACCAACAATTGTTCACTAATTTTTTTTTTATATACTGACACGCTCTTTGATTAGAAGTTGCAGAGAGAGAGAGAGACAGCAAGCCGCTGTGGGTGAACTGTGCATAGCCCACGCTATTTTACTGATGTTGTGACTGATACAGGTGGACCATTACTGAAGCATTTAACAAAGAGTTGTGGTGATTATAAATTATTATAGTCTAATGCAAGAAGTGCCACTAGTGTGTGTTGAGCATGAGAATTTTATGCATCATGTAGTTCTTCATAGTAAAATCAAAGAGCATAATTGTTCTAGACATCTTTCCTAAAACCAGTGAGATGTTATATACTTATCTATATATACAGCATTATAAATGTAGGCACATATGTATGAATAGGTATATCCTGGTATGTGTATATATGTGCACACAGATACGTAAATACATATGCACATATGTATATGTGTGTGTGTATGTGTATGTGTGTGCACACATTTCATGTATAATAAAGTATTAAGCACCCCTAACTATAGACTTCTGAGGATTTCCTTGGAGCTTCTGATCCTACGCTCTTCCCTAGTTCCATATTCCAGTATTAATTATCTCCATCTTGAAGTTCTTTGCCTAAACTCAGCACAGAGAATAGCTCACTTGCCAACTTTTTCATAAAGGTTGGCTTTCCTCCATGTTGCTTGGCCGCCTCTCTCACCCTGTCTCTCTCCTTTAAATTACTTCCCATGTTCTAACGTCCACTCCAAACTTTTTCCTCCAACTCCCTGGGCAAGACTAAAAAATTTATGTGACTGAATTAGATACAGCAATTTAGCTCTCTATCCTGATCCCAGGCTGGGTTCTGGGCCTTCCTTTGAATTGAGAAAAATCATTCTGCACATATTTATTGAATACTTACCAGGAGGCACTGCTGGAGGTGCCTGAGGGACTCCTGAAGGGGTTCGGCTATGGGAGGAGAGCATCCGCCTTCAGAATAGAGAATGGGTTGAAACTTAGATTTTTTTGAGATATCCTTATATTTGGATGAGGTAAAATTCTTAGAACCCTCACCTCTATTTATTAGGAGCATTTTTTTAAAGTTCTTGCTGCACTTTTAAAAAAATTCTTGTGATCTTCAGAACCTTTTCATCATCCCCATCTGAAACTCTACCTATTAGACAGTAACACCCCGTCCCCCACTCAAGCCCCGGGCAACCACCATTCTACTTTCTGTCTCTACAAACTTGCCTATTCTACCTACCTCATATAAGCAGAATCGTATAATACTTTCCCTTTTGTGTCTGACTTATATCACCTTAGCATGACATTTTGAAGTTTCATCCTTGTTGAAGCATGTACTGGAATTTTGTTCCTTTTTAAGGTCAAATGATATTCCATTGTATGGATATATCACATTTTGTTTATTCATTCATCTGTTCATAAACATTTGGGGTGTGTGTGTGTGTGTGTGTGTGTGTGTGTGTGTTGGTTAGGGAAGACGGGTTGACATTCTTAAGCTGGGCTGTCAAACTGGCCATGCTTTGGGGAAGTGGAGATGATAAACTCTGTCCTGGCCACAGGAGGAAGATACCAAGTCGGTGTGGTAGACATTGTTACCACTCCACCCAAATCCTCTAGGTCCCTATACCTTTTCTCGTCTTCCACCCCATGCACCCACCCCCCTGGGTCAAAGAGTCTGCACCTGTGACTCTTTGAAGACTGCCTTTAAACCACTTGGGCCAGTTTTGCCTCCTTGCACAGAGATCCAGAAATGCCTAGAATTTACATCTCACCTTCACTGCCCCCTGCCCACCCAGCCCCTAGCCAAGGACTTCCTGGTGCAGGAGTAGGAAGACCAGTAAACTTTGCTTCTGAGGCTCACTTTAAAGCTGCAGACTTCCTCTGCTCGATCAGCCTCATGCTCCCATAGCTTCCCTCCATGGGAAATTACACCCCATCTTTTTGGAGGGAGGCATTTTCTCCTCCTGTGTCTAACTTCTTCCATAAGCCGCCTGCACACTAATCTTCATGTCAGGGACCCTGGGGAACCCCACCAAAGAGAGTAGGAATGTGTGTCGGGAACAGAAATAGTTCACTTTAACTGTAGTGAGGAAAGGTAAGTTGGGGCCAAGTTACGGAGCGCTTTGAATACCCAGCCAGCCATTATACTTTATTCTGGAGGGAGCCGGCTGTCGTTAGCAGTTTCTCAATGTGAATTAGCTTTCCTGTGAGGCGGATTCATAAATAAGTTAGAGTGCAGGGAATCTGGACGCCATAAGCCGGCTAGAAGGCTATTTCAATAACCCAGTTACCGTCGGCTTAAACTGTTTGTAGGATGTGGCAGCAGGAGGTGAAGGATGGGACACACGTGAGGGGGCTTTGGAGGCTGTGTGGGCACAGTGCGGAAGCTAACACTGAGGACGAGACAGAAGGCACCTAAGCTGATGCCTCATCCTGAGTCTCGGCTGTGGGGAGACGGGGACACCATATACACAGAAAGAAGGGCAGGTTTAGAAGGAGACGGTGAACTTGGTCTCCACGTATGGTCCGCCACCCTGAAACCACCCATTTTAACCCAGAATGAATATTTCTTCCCCTTGCATGCTTCACAATTTATCTCTCAGGAGCAGACAGTCCTTGCCTAGTTGTCCTCTTGCATAATTCTTCGATCGCGGTGGCTTAATCAGTGTCTGATCATTCTTAGCCTCAGCGTCTCAACATCAAGGGAGAGTTGACAGCGGGGAGAAAAAGATCTCCTCATTCCAACGACAGGGAGTTTCACAGAGCGTCATGTTGTCTTCATGTGCAGGTCCCTGAATGGCAGGCATCATATTCAGATAACACCTAAAGCCAACCGAGCAGCAGCTGGGACTGAGCTCCATTTCAATGTAGGGCTGAGTTTACTGCACATTTAAAAAACTAACTGTGTCCTTCTCCATGATCCTATAATATACTCATTATTCTGCAGAGGCAGAGTGGGTGAACTTGCAGGCCAAATGTTCTGAACAATAGAAACATAACACAACCAGTGTATCACTGACATAATTTTTCTTACAGACACAACACTTAGCTTTATTGTCAGTGTTATCTAAGATTGTATTTTGCTCAAGATAATGAGTTCTTGTACTAAGAGCTGAGAAATACTTAAACGCGTTTCACTTTTCATTTAAACACAAGTTAAATGTACTGTCCCGGAGCAGTGATGTCGTCCTTGTTATTACTACATCTGGGGTTTATTGCTTTCCAAATTTACATGCCCCTCATGTTAGATGATGGTGCTGTGGGGGATCCTGAGGAGAAATGGTGTTTTTAGTAAACAAGGACCAAAACACTGAAGGATGATGTCTAAATTAATCGTTCGTGAGTTGATTTAGACTCACCAACATTTTTGAGCTCCTACTATGTGCTAGGCACAATTAACACAACTAAACACAACACTGGCTCTTGCTGTACAAAGACTTGCAGGCTAGTCAGGGTCCCTGACACTGGAGATGGATAATTTTGGTGCATTGTGGTGTGGTACACGGAGGTCTTACTGCGCAGCAGAGAGGAGGGGACACTGCTGGAGGTTACAGAAGGCCCATTCCAGGTCTCCATCCCCACCAGCATGTTTCAAATGGATTGAATACTCCTCACATCTGGCACTTTAAAAAGCAAGAAGGCTCCTCAAAAAGTTAAATGTAGAATTTTGATCCAGCAATTCCACTCCTAGGTAGACACGAAAAAGACAAGAGAAATGAAAACGGGTCTACACAGAAACGTGTTGCCGCATTATTCACAATAGCCACAGGGTGGAAACAGCTCAGAGGTCCATCACTTGATGAATGGATAGGCACAATGTGGTCTATCCGTACAAGAAAATATTATTCAACTGTAAAAAATAATGAATTTCTGACACATGCTACATGGATGAATGGATGAATCTTGAAAACATTATGCTAAGTGAAAAGCCAAACATGAAAGAGCATGTATTGCATGGTTCCATTTATATGAAATATCCAGAAGGGATAAATCCAGAGACAAAAAATAGATTTGTGGTTGCCTGGGACGAGAGGGAGCCGGAGTGGGGATAGGCATGGAGTTTCCTTTTGGGTAATGAAAATGTCTTGGAACAAGATAAAGGTGAAGATGTCTTGGAACTAGATAAAGGTGATATTGCACAACACTGTGTATATACTCATGTCACTGAATTGTATATTCCACAATGGCTAATTTTATGTATGTGAGTTTTATCTCAATTAGAGACAGAGAGAGAAGAGAGTCAGAGAGGAGAGACCTAGTTATTTGTGTTCAGACCAAAGCTATAGGGACAGCAATTAGGCAGTCTGATTCTCTCACCTGGGAAAGCCATTAACAGGGGAGAAAAGGGCCTCTTTAAAGTTATCCTTGGTTCAGCGTATTTTACATCAAAATATACTGTCTTTGAAATATAAACAAAGGTATTCTGATTCTTACTGTTCCTTTTGCAAGGGGAGAAATGTGTAACAGGCTGACCTCTTGTTCTCCATTCTTTACCCTCCCTTAAATTCTAGAAGAATCTCTGGGTCAATGGGATTTCAGAGGAAACGTTCCAGAGGAGAAAGTTCCTGTCTGAACTGAGCATTGAAGGGTGAATTGGAGCCATTTAGATGAAGACTTTGGGAAGGAGTGGGAAGAAGAAACTGCAGTCAGAGGAAACAGCATGAACAATATAGCATAGCATGAAAAACATGCTGTATTTGGAGGAATACAAGTGGGTCATTATTCCTGTAAAGGAAGGTAAGGCAGGGACTGGAAGATGGGGCTGTAGAGGTAGAAAGAGAAGGCCTTCTGTGTGATGCTAAGTACTCTGGGTACTGGAGGCAGTGGTATTCTGGAAATGGCTCACCTGTGCACAAGCTGATTGTGCAAATCTCCCAACTCAGAGTTCATTGGCCAAAGCGAGTGCTCCTTGGGTGTGAAATCTGTGTCTTTGCACAAGAACTCATGTTTGGTTAAATGCTTTCTTGTTTCTGTCTTGACGTTCTGAATAATTTTTAACAGTCAACCCTACATGTTCATTTTGCAGCAGGCCCTATAAATTATGTAGCTGGTCCTGGATGGGAGAGTTTACACTGCAGAAATTGGCAAATACTACAAAATAGGGCTCTGTCCTGCAGGAGAACCAGTTACCAAACAAAGATCAGCACACCATTGTCTGGAGGGAAACCACCGAAAGCTCTAGTTTCCGAGGTGTGACTGGGTGTGAAGCAGGATGTTAGGGGGCTTAGAGGAAAGATATCTAATGAGTTCCTAGTTTAGGAGCTGCATGAGCATAATGTAAATTGTGCATCTGTTTATTGTATCAAAGAAGTAGGTAGTGACCGCCTGTTCTGCCCCAGGTACTTTGCTAAGCCAATAGAACTCAGTCTTGGGGAAAGAACATCAGGGAAGACCAGCCACTAATCTGAATCATGAAGTAGAATGAAGTTATGTGCAAAAGCAAGTGAGCAAGAGAATCTGGGTTCTTTTAGAGCCTGGCACTTTGTCCCATGTGGCTGAAGTTGGGTGATTCTAGGGGGACAGAGTGGAGACTAAGAAGGGGTCAGATGGTTGTTAGACCACCAAAACCATGGTCACAATTTTGGCTTATTTGGCAGGTGGTGAGGAACCATGATAGGATATAAGTAGAGTAGTGATGTGCCTAGATGTTCAGTGTGGAAAAATCTTTGCCAGTGTGGGGCATTGACTGGAGTCAGGACACTGGGCAAGATGCATTTGTAGCTGTCCAGGATGGGAGTGAGGGGTGCCTGCAACACCAAGATGGTGGCCGTGGGAAGAAAGAGAAGAGAGATGTTTGAAATATTTAGGTAATACTGGCAATATGATGCCTGGATGTGGGTAATGACGGAGGGGCGAGAGGCTAGGATCACACCCAGGTTTGTGGCATGAATATCTATGTGGAAAAAGAAAAAAGAAAACAATTTTTAAAAATCATGAAACCATCTCTTAGATCCCTGAAACTACCTACCTTATTTTTCTTAGAGAGGGTTATGTTAGTCCCATACAGGCAATCAAAATAAAGCTGTAAAAATGTATAGTTCAATGAAAACATACTCTAGAAAGAAATTACACAAGGAAACCTTGGTTCAATACAAATACATCTTGTTTTTAAGCCAACTTGGGAAAGGTAGATACAGTTCTGTTTCATAACAATAAAATGCTGATTCATGAACCCTGTCAGATGGTATTCTGCATCTCATTGGTGACCTGTCACCTTAATTTCCACAGAATCCAGGCAACGGGAGATATACAAAGCTGGTAAGAGGACAGTTATGTAATTGAGGTCAAATCGGCCACAAGTGGAGTCTGGAGAGTTTTTAGCAGTGGGAGCTTGCCTCAAATGGAGGATGGTACAGTACTGGGCGTTTAGAATTTTGTGTGAAAGGGAAAAATAAACCCCATGACTGTAATAGGGAAAGTGGAATATAGTCAGTTTACTTCCAAAAACATATATGTGAAATTGATTCAATTTAATTTTCAAAATAATTGTCTTAGACTCTTGGCCTTGGAAACACAAACACAAAGATTTGATCTCTGTTCTCAAGGAGCTTATAATCATGAACATAAAGAGCCAACTATAATAGACGAGAGACTGAATATAAAATGGACAATGGCCAGACCTATGGTAAAAAAATTAAGCTATAAAAATAAAATTCTGACCTCAAATCTGCAGCAACCAGTTCAGGGAACCAATCCACCATCACGGTAACCAGCTCAGAAAGCTGGACTACTGTCTATAAGTTAAACTTGCGGGAGGGAGGTCAGACCACTATTTCTGGCAACCAGTCCAGGGAGCCAAATAATAACCCCTATAATGATTGGCCCCAAGTGGCTAGGATTTAATTAATATCTGACAGTTCCCTAATTTTTTTTTGGTCTCTGCTTCCACCTTAGTACCAACCAGAGTAAGCCAAATAGGCACCCCTAACCAATTTGGGCTCAGGATTCTGTGCTCCCAATTGACCTACCTCCAGCTTCCCCAGGCCAACAGCCTCAAATCAGGGCAGCCCTAGAGCCTTCCCTTCTTCCATTATAAAGTGCTTCCACTCTGCTGCCTCCTTGCAGTCTCTGTGAAATGCAAGTGGTGGTGGCTCACTCCCTTGTCACAGCCAGCTCTAAATAAGTAGCCTTTTCCTGGGGTGCCTGGGTGGCTCAGTTGGTTAAGTGTTTGCCTTTGGCTCAGGTCATGATCCCAGGGTCCTGTTGGGCTCCCTGCTCAGCGGGAAGCCTGCTTCTCCCTCTGCCCCTGCTCATGTGTTCTCTCTCTTGCTCACTCTCCTCTCTCTCTCAAATAAATAAATAAATAAAATCTTTTTTAAAAAAAATAAGTAGCCTTTTCCTGTTCTTAACTGGGTGGTCTTCATTTATTGCCACACAGAGAAGGCAGAATAAAGTAAGTGCTAAAAATACCTACAAATTTCCCACTGTGTGGGAATAAAGGAAAGAGTAATTCATTCTGTCAGGGAAGGTTGGGAAGGCAAACTTTCAGCAACTGGCTGAAAAACACTCATGGATGGTGCTTTCCTAAATAATCTCTCTTTTAAGTTTTTGTACACTAGTGCTTTTGAAAAAGGAGAGCTGCTGTTTGACCTTCAAGGGGAAAGAGCAGTTTTGGCGGCTATGACTTAGATATCCCCTCCAAGTTCAGGACTCAAACAAAACTTGAGTTCCTGAAACTGGCAGGGGCTCATCTAGACTTCAGGCATTCTCTGTCAAACATCAACTGTTTTGACTGAGAAAGGCTGTGTATTGCATTATTATTGGCTAAGTAGCATTTTGAGATATTTGTATTTCAGCCCAATTTTCTCCCTTTATCCCCCTTATTCAAACAGATAGTAGACCCTGATGTTCCATGTTCAGAGAAGGCTTGGGGCTGACTGATTTGTTTCCAAACCCAAGCCATTGAAGAGATAAGACTGTGGATCCCTGATAAGGGACCCCCACTGAGACTGTTTTGCTTGGAGATCTGATGCTGCGGAGAAGAGGACTGAGAGGTGTGATGGAGCTTTTCCCTCTCCATCTGAGCCTCTCCCCACCACAGATTATAAAGAATTTAGATAAAAGGAGAGGGAAGTCTGAGGGTCTTGGAGGAAGACGTCTTGGTTATGGCTTCCCAGAAGTACTTGGACCCAAGGAAGAAATGGGAGCGGCAAGCCTTAGCTTATTTAGGCAGATGGGCTGGTGATAACCTGCCCATCTGCCTAAATGCAAGTGATAACCTGATAACCCTTGTCCAGAGGACTAATCACAGAACAGTGACAAACCTCCATAACCTAGAGAATGCTCCAAGGAACCATCGGGAAACTCTGAAAGCGATCGAGGTTACATTTTCCACCAGACTTGCATTATTGGTATTGAATCAGAAATCAGACTGATTTATGTAAATAAAGAGATGGGGGGTTTTTGCACCTGAGTTTCTGGACTGTGAGTTGTGGATACTTACATGAAATTAACACAAATACAAGGACCACAGAATAAATACTTACAAATTATGTCACATGGTTTGTGTTCAAGGTCACACGATGGACTGTGTATATGGAAACACTCAAGACTTGGGGGGATGGAAGACCAAGTAGGAGAGAGAGATCAGTTATCTAGCCACCACTGGCTGGTGTCCAGGAGCATATTTGTTAACATTTGCATGCAGATTTTTTGCCCTTCCTATCCCTTCTTATTACAGGTTTTGTGGCTGTTCTTTGTGTCAGGATTTTGTTTGTGAATTGGGTAAGAAGTTAGACTCCCTTAGGGAAATATATTGAGTAGGAGTTGAAAGCAGAGTAGAAATGATAAGGAAGTTGGGAAATATCAAATCTTTATTATATAAATTCTTGGCGTGTTTATATCATCTGGGTTTAGAGAAAAGAGAGCCAGTACATATTTCTTATAGGGGAGAAACGTTTCAAAACAAGCAAGATTTAGGGGAACACATCACCTACATCTATAGATTACAAAATGTGGTTTCATTAAAAATATTGATTGGATTTCCAACAGAAAAACACTGGTTCTGATTTATGCTTTACACAGGCAATCCACAACTTTGCAGCTTATTATTGTTCCTGCTCTTCTGCTGCCAGCTATAGAGAGGAGAATCTCTTTGGTGGCCATTGTGGGGAGAGAATGGAGGCTGATTCTGGCAATTGTCAGTACTGGTGCTGGATCCTGGGGGCAGGGCATGTTGGATAAAAGATGTTCGGGAGGTACCAGGCAGTTCTGGGAGTGCTGTACAATTGTAGCACAACACCAGTCTGTGGGCAAGCTCCTAGGGAGGGAGGAGGACCAGCTTCTCAGATGGGTGCTCAGGTCATGCCAAGGAGACCAGAGCCCTGGCAGGACAATGGGTCGGGTTGAGGAATCAAGGTGGTAGGTAGATTGCAGGGCTTGGTGTAGCACCCAAAGGCTTTCCTGTGTGTAGAGGGCTTGCTCTAGGCACAATAGATTCTGGATCTGCTTGATAGCAAAGGAAACTTGGGGTGGTCGTGGTAGACAGGACGGTCCCCCAAAGATGTCCACACCCTAATTCTTGGAGCCCGTGAATATGTTACATTACATGGCAAAAAGGATTTTGCAGATGTGATAAAGATTTCTAATTAGTAACCAGTTGACATGAAGATAGGGAGACTATCCTGGATCAAGTGGGGGAAGGAGAGGGGGAACCCATGTGGTCATGGGTCTTTAAAGCCTAACACTTTCTCTGAATGGAGTCCAAGAGAAAGGGCAGAAGAAGTCAGAGACTCTCCAAGAGCGAGTAGAATTCTATGTGCCACTGCTGGGTTGAAGAGGGAGGGGGAATCAGGATGAGGAATGCAGGTGGCCTTGGGGAACCTGGGTGACTCAGTTGTTAAGCATCTGCCTTCGGCTCAGGTCATGGTCCCAGGGTCCTGGGATTGAGCCCCATGTCAGGGTCCCTGCTCCACAGAAGGCCTGCTTCGCCCTCTCCCACTCGCCCTGCTTGTATTCCCTCTCTCGTTGAGTCTCTCTCTCTCTCTGTCAGATAAATAAAAATAAAATCTTAAAAAAAAAAAAAAGGCATGTAGGCAGCCTTAGGGAGTTCAGACAGGTTTCCAGAAACAGAACTTGGCCCTATAGCTGCAAGGCTGTGAATTCTGCCAACAACATCAATGAGCTTGGAAGCAGATTCCCCCCAGGGCCTCCAGATGAGAGAGAGCCCAGGCAGGCCACCCTCTAGATTTTGCCTCTGAGACCCAGAACAGAAACAGCTGAACCCACCCAGAATTCCACGAGTGAATATGCATTTTTGTATTGTCTTAAGCTGCTAAGTTTGTAGTAACTGGTTATAGTAGCAATAGAAGATGAATACAGAGTAAGAGGGGATTGGGCATCTTAGTAAATTCTGGCTGCTATAACAAAAATACCACAGGCTGGGGGGATTTAAACAACAGGAATTTATTTCTCACAGTTCTGGAGTGTGGCAGTTTGAGATCAAGGTGCCGGCATGGTTGGGTTTTGGTGAAAATCCTCTTCTGGTTTGCAGATGGCTTTTGTTGCTATGTTCTCACGTGGCAGAGAGAGCGAGCTTGGGTGTCTTCGTCTCCTTGTTGGCACTCATCCCAACACAGGGCCCATCCTCAAGACCTAATGACCTCCTAAGGGACCCACCTCCCAATACTGCCAATAGGGGGTTTAGGCTTCAACACATGAACTTTTTGTGGGACAATTTCAGTCCATGGCACAGAGTGATGGATCCAGTCTAGCTTGATGGTGGGGGTGGTCTGGGCAATTCTGGGGTGTGGGACTGAATCTTTGGAAAGGAACATCTGTAACCCCAATGCCAGAAGGCAGAGATTCCAAAAAAAAAAAAGCAAAAGAGGACAGTAACCCAGGATGACGGAATTCTCTGCAAGTTCAGGGACTTTGAACTCAGCTGACTTGATCTGGGTGGGTGGCAGGTTAATCAAGTTAGCACATGGAAATAGCATTTGTACCCGATGGCATAGGAATCAGTTATATTTTGGTTACTCTTCATTCTCAAGCCTAACTGTCCTATGTCTAATTCTCTTGCAATCTGTTAGCACTTTTCCAGGAAACCAGTTAGTAACACAAAACATCAGATTGAGAAAGGAAGGGTTTTTCCAGTCATCATTTACTTTCCTTGATACAGCATTTTGGAAGATAAGAGACGTCTCTTCTATATCCTATGTGAAAAATGCTGGAAAATTTGGTCAGAAATACGGAAGTATTAAGATTTATATTGTTTTTATCTGAAAGAAAGTTGCAAGAACAACAAAAAGATAAAGCCTAAAACCAACTTCCATCTCTCTCTGGTGACGTCACTTTGAAATATTTAAGATTCAAAGGTCTGTTTGTAATTATAGTGGCTGCTTGATGGAAAGCCAATGAGAGGACATTAAGGGCTGCTGGTGGATGTGAGGGACCACATGCCTTGCTTCGAATTCAGCGCCAATACAGCCTTCCCTGGTTCTCAGCGACTGTGAGGCAGCTGGGGTGCCCACTTCTTCAATCTCAAAGGTTGAATAAATCACTGTGCTACCCAAGCGACCGTGCAGCTTTTCATCAGCCACACCTGCACAGGATGTAGGTCGTGACCATTCAAGAGCTAATCTATTAATTAGAACAGGAAATTGTTCTGGAGCGCCCAAGGGCGGTTCTTAGAACAGCTTCTGAGAACTCTCTGTAATTCTGAAGGAATAGTTCTTTCTTTGCAAATTTGAGCCATCTTTAGGATGTGAGATGCCATGCCCAAGATTTTATTGGCATATTTAAGTCTGCATTGTCCATGTGAGTAAGGGACAGACGAAGCAAGGTAGGGAGAGACAGGTAGGGGGTGATGTGACTAGGCTCATGCAGGGGACCACGTAACCAGGCTCACAGAAATCCCAGATGTGGAGAAATGTTATAGACACAAGATATTAGCCAGAGAGAAGGGAACATAACAAATCCACCTTATTTGTTCTAAATATAGATGAGATATTTTCATGATATTTACAAATCTACCTTGTTTGTTGTGTTATAGACAAGATATTTACCAAGTTCCCTGGTCAGTTTTCTATAAAAGACCTGCCATAAAAGTCCCCAATGGCAACCCGTTCGGAGCTCTCTCTCTCTAAAGAGCCTTCCTTTCTGTTCTCACCTTCCCTTAGTCAACATTCACTTCCCTTTCCCCTATTGTCCGCAAGATTCCTTCTTGGAGTTGGTGAGACAAGAACCCGCAACACAGGGATGGCTTGCAACTTCAAATATTATAAATAATATGGCTGATGGTGCACTGGTCTGTATGTTCTAACACAGAACTGAGTGTTCCTGGTGATGGCGCCAATGTAACCTGACTCCTACCTTTCATATATTCTGACTGAAAATCCTGTCACTTTTCCCTTTAAAATCTCCCCCAATAGGGGGTGAAATCGGTGAGGGAGATGAACCGTGAGATTACGGACTCTGAGAAACAAACTGAGGGCGCTAGAGGGGACAGGGGTGGGGGGGATGGGTTAGCCCGGTGATGGGTATTGAGGAGGGCATGTTCTGCATGGAGCACTGGGTGTTATATGCAAACAATGAATCATGGAACACTACATCTAAAACTAATGATGTAATGTATGGGGATTAACCTAACATAATAAAATAAAAAAACATAAGCTATAGGATTCCACTTAAATAAATTTAAAGACCAAAAAATAAAAAAAATAAAAATAAAATTTCCCCCAAATGCTATCACTGCCATTACTCCCACAAATCCCACCCTAATCTGAGCCCCCATCACACATTGTTTGGACTGACTCAGTAGACTCCAAAGTGACCAACCTCTATCACTCGCCATCTTTTTCCTCTGTTTTTTTTTGTTGTTCTTTTTTTTTTTATTTTTATTTTTTAAAGATTTTATTTATTTGACAGAGAGGCACAGCGAGAGAGAGGGAACACAAGCAGGGGGAGTGGGA